ACACAAGTCACCATGGTTTAAATTAGTAGATTACAGTTTAAAGAAGAGGCATGTTCTGAAGAGGTGCTAAATGCTGGAGGCTGTTTTCAACTTTGGGGAAGTAATTCCTTTCCTTGAAAAATAACTACTTTTGAGGAACGAACATTCACGGATTCCTTGGCTTAGGACACATGGATCCTTCTGACTGGATATGTCTTTACATATCTCAACTCTGCATTGCATTTACCACTTTGAATTAGAGCAATGACATTCTGGGGCCGCTCTTTCTTTTTGGAGTTCCGTTTCTTATTGAAGTATTTTAAAAGGAGTAAGTAGTGTAAAATCATAGAATCATCAAATGGTTTGGGTTGGAAAGGACCTTAGTGATCATCTAGTTCCAACCCCCCGCCCATGGGCAGGGACACCTTTCCCTATACCAGGTTGCTTAAAGCTCCATCCAACATGGCCTTGAACACTTCCAGAGAGGGGGAAGCACTGCCTTGCATGAGGCAAGGATGCTAGGAAAAATAAGAAATGTCAGTTGCAAAAAAATAATAAACTGTCAAGTAATACTTCAAAGAACTTCAGCAGACAAGGGGATAGGTTTTTATTTATGAAATAAGTCTCTGCCTACAAACACCATTAGAAATATCAGTAGAAATATTTCATTTTAGATCATCTTCACAACAAACTAATATTTGCCCATCCATTTTCTTTTCGGATAAATGGAATGCAGCATTACCCAGTTTGGAATTTGATCAGAGCACAGTAACTTAAACACAATTTATCTTCACTTGCAGAAAACTAATACCTGAATTTTGCAGAATAACTTCCCAAATACTAAGAGATCCTAGGGTGTTTAGGTGACTCATGTCTTTAGACTCCTCCTGCACACACTCCATCTGTACTTGTTTCCTACTCAGAACAGTGTTAGTTTGAGTTGAGGTAATTTTCTGAAAACATCAGCACACAACAGCTACACTTCTTACTTGTAAAGCTGCAGAAAACATTCTCTGCCTGATGCTGAAGTAGTGCCACTAGCCCTGTTGTTCCTGTCTCTCCCACCATGGGAGCCTGACCTGTTGGATTTGAAGAAGTGTCTTTACTGGTGCAATGTGAGACAGCTAGTCTTATTAACACTAGTGATATACGGTAGAGTTTGTAATCCAGGATCTAGCATCTGAGAGGCTATTGCGGTGCTTTGCACAGAGGAAGACATTATTCTCAAATTACAGCCTCTCAAATAAAAGATTAGCAGAATAAAATTATGCTAGCTGGTCATTTTACAGATTTCATTTGCCATCCTTGCACTTATTCCAACCCTAATCAAATGCACGTTTGTGTGCCAGTGTTTCAGTTTTAATGGAATTAAAATCTCAGTAGTTTGCTTTTTTCAAGGTTTTTAAGTAGGAAAGTAATTCTAATGCCATTGCTCTAAAAGCAAAAAAAAAAAAAAATTTAAAATTCCATAAGAAATACTGTAAGGTTTGCTATTTCTCTACCTTTAAAATTTTGAAGGGTGCATACATGGACTGTTTCTTGCAAAATAGCCTGTTAGATAACCTGACAATTTGAATAAATAATTACAGCATCCATCTGGTTGTTACACTGATAGTTTCCTTTTACTATTTGTCTGATTTAAGATATCATAAAAATAGATACCTTCAGGCCACTTATGACTTTTTCAGAGACATATAAAAATTAATTGGACATCGTTAGCACAGATATTTCACTTTGTGAGTCATCTTCTGTGTAAATGGTGGGAAGATAGTTATATTCAAAAATAAAATTTAACAAGTTATCCATGGACATAATATAATTAACTGAAATATGCAGAAAATTAAGAACATATGGATACTGTTTACTGCCCAATCTTATTACCTAGAGGAAGGGACTGAAGAAAAACTAGAGAAGGATTTATGGAACGCAATGCTCAAATACAACTAAGTGGATTTATTTGGCAAAACCACATCTTTAATAAACTGAAGCTGATTTTTTTCTAAGGAAATCCATTGAACTGTAGACCATTATACATACATATAGTATCCAGGCCCAAATCGTATTTCAAATACTTTAAATCCTTTTTGCTGAGCAGTATCAGGTACCGAGGGGCCTGAACAATATGTATTTTTGAGACTGTTTCTTTAAATGTTGTTTTTTAATGAAAGCTGTTCTGAAATTATCAGGTGTACATAATCCTTTATCTGAATTCTGCCCAGTATCATTCATGTCCTAGCAGTTTAGTGGCTGGATAACAAGCAATTTTAAAACCAGTGAAGGAAGAAGAGGGAAGCTATCACTAATAAATGAGTGGTTCATAGTTCAAGGATTGGTAAGAGCTAGTTCAGGGCCCAATGCAGGAAACAGGATTACTTTTGTTTCATTGTTCTATTAAATTACTGCATGTATAGCAACAGTAATCAAATATATATTTGTGTGTTGTTCTATTAAGTTCAGTAATCTGAATCAAAACACTTGGGGCATATTTATCACAGCCTTCTTGTGTAGTAGCAGCAGCCAGGAAAGATATAACTGCACTAGGCGGTAGTGGAGGCAGGACTCAGGCAATGTTTCCAACTTGTCATGAAAACTTTTTTAAAGCGTGTTTTATGACTGAGAAATACAGTGAAACCCCCAGGCTGCTACTACTACTTTCTCTATTCAGTCATTGGCCCCTTTGTGGACTTCTAGCAATGCAAATACCTATATTTCTAGTGACAACACTGCATTTTGTTATAGCATTCAGAATCAGAACTGCTAACAGGTAAAAAGCAGCCTAACCAAATGCTCTGAACTGTAAAGAGAAGACAGACCTACTGATGACTCTAAGAGGATGCACCTTTTAAGACTAATTTCACAGGGAAGGCACCCAGGTCAACAATTTGAATCACAGTCCTGTAAAATGTGGAATAAAGGAACCAATTATTCAGAAAGACCAAAGGGAAACCTCATATCTTGGTTTATCAATCCAGAAGGGGCACAAGCACTAATCAAAGGAGTGTGGACTATATCCAGGGAATGTGTGTGCTTTTAATTCTCAAATAAAGGAGAACTTTGAGTTGAGGATCCTTATAATTGGGGGTTTCATTAACAAAAACAGGTATCAGCAAAAGCTTCTATCTTGTACAAACCAAAAATTAGTAGCAGGAGTTTCAGTGTAGTAACATATGATAAGGTTGCCTCCTGGAAGCTCTGGACGGTTTAACAATTCATTTTTCAATTTATATTGCATCACCACCTCCAGCCTCTCCAGGATCTCTGTGATTATACACATTACATTATCCTTAACAGAAGCTTTTTCTATGTCTACATTACAGTATGTTTCATGAATTTATGGTCAGATATGTTGATTCTGGTCTTGTGTTACTTAGATGCTTGGTGCTATAATCTAATGACTAAATTATTTCAGTAATATCAGTGCTGATAGTACACACTTATGTTGTGCTGTGATCCCACTCCAGAGATAAAGACTTGAGGTGCCACTGGAGCAGGCTTACCCACCATGTCATTAGATTAGTAATTCAGATGTAGGAATATGCAGCTTCATTTCTTTCCTCCAGTTTTTTATTATAGATTTTTCAAGTGCCACTCACCATTCCTCTCTATCATTGTAGAGGATTTGATTTTTTGAGGGTCATTTGAAAAGGAATCCATTATTTCTTAAGATCATTACTGTAGCACTTTGTGTGTGTGCAATTTCTACAAACTCCCAGAGACGGACAAGAAGCTTTAGGAGAAAGATTATTGAATGAATGCAGATGACTACAATATTACGTCTCATATTTACACATGGCAACTCCAGAATACAGGTGTTGCACATTCATGAGGTAACGTACAGAAGATTGCGTGGCTTCATGTACAGAAAACACAATTAGAACTAATGTCAGACATTGAAACTCACTGTTAAAAATTGTTTTTCATAATGAAATTTTGCAAAGTAGACATCAAAAAAAGTATCACTTCTTACTTTTTGGCATGGCTCCTTTAACAGATCTGCTTTCCTTCTGCCGTTTCCTCCCTCTGGCCGTTCAAACCTCTCCACTGTGCTGCATGGTGCCGCAGTTTAAGCAACTGGTCCTGCTGCAAAAGGACTTGGAAGAGAGAAGAGAAGGTTACTTTCAGCCAATGCACTGCAAGGGTTCACAAAGTGACCTGTTGTACAGTGGAGAATTTGGTGCAGAGAAGGAAAAAAAGCACCACAGACATTTTTTTTTAAAGAGAGTCTTGCATTTCAGCATAATTTTAGCCGGAAATACTGTTATGGCACTTGCCTTGCAAAAAATCAGGAGCAGCTTTCTTTTCCCACGTGGTCTTGATTGTACATCCTGTTTTGTTTTACTTAAAAGGTCTGTGGTTTTGATTCACGCTCACAGACAGTCAATAAATGCAACCTAACCTGCTTTGGTATCTAGCATTAACCTTCAGCATAGTAAACTGTCAGTAAGAAAGAATTATTCTTGTTCCTCCCATAACTCAGTTGCTGTAATTTAAACAAACAATAATACAAAACTTCTTTTCCATTTAATGCAAATATTTACATCTGTTTATTAATACTTCAAAAAATAGACAAAGATAAAACTAGTATAGTTTTACAGTTGTCAAGAGCACTTCGTAGAATATGCATTTCTACTTGCTGTTAAAAAAGAAAGATTAAAACACTTGTATCAGTATTTTGCTCTAACTGGTAGAATCTAAGAGTACAGGCAAGCACTGTTTGTGGGCAGAAGTAGTGTTTTTTTCTAGATCAGCAGG